TCTAGAAAACTTGTCTTCTTGGTGGCTCACTACAGACATACCTGGGTGATATCATTTCAACTACTAACTCTGCTGAAAACTCCCAGATCTTTATCTTCAATTCAATCAATTCTAAGAAATCGCTCATGAATTGCCTTTTTGCTTTCTCATTGCCAATGCTTTTTGATCAGGTCCTTACTACCCAATTTCTAGACTTTCACAGTACCTCTGATTCATTCCTTTCTTTCATGCTTCACATCCATCCATCAGCAAATCCTATTGGTTTTACCTCCAAGCCATATCCAAAATCCATTTTCACCTCCTTGGCCTAAACTATCACTACCCTGGCCACTCGATAACTGTAAGCAGCCTCCTTTTTACTTTTATCACAGCATAACCCTGCCCCACCTTTTTCAAATCCCCCAGTGGCTTCCATGCCACTCAGAGTGAAATTCAAGTTCCTTACAATGGCTTTACAAGGCCTATACAATCGCCCCCCGTTGCCCATCTAACTTCATCCCACTGCTCTTCTCCCTTGCTCATTCTTTCCCCTAGCCACATTGCTCTCATTTTATACTTAATTACATGGGCTCATGGCTGGCTCTAGGCTTTCTCCACCTTCTGTTATCTAGAATGCTCTTTCCCAAGATGTACTGGGCCTGGATTGCTCTCTTATTGCAGAGGTTTACTCAACTGCTACTTTTTCATTAAGTGCTTCCCTAAGCACCCTATTTAAAATAGAAATATCCTCCCCACACACCTAGGATGTGTCCTTCATCATCTAACATTCTCATGTTTATTGTCTCTCTCTCCAAAGAAAACAGAAGCTCCATTAGGCAAGGATTTTTTTCTTTCCTGCTGCTTTCCCCAAGCCCATACATATTAAATATCAGGTGCTTAATATTTAACAAAAATGATTAAAAGCTCCCTCACTTATCTTTCAACTGTAGTCCACTCCCTCCTAGCCTTCAAGTATCATACCAAAAACATACATCTGATCATTCTCCTGCTTAAAAAACTTTTATGAGATCTTTACATCCTCATTTAAGCCTTTTCCTCATTCCCCCAAATGTTGTACACGCTTCACATATTAGCACTTTTATCATCCCTGAACCTATCATGCCATTTCAGTTCTTCATGCTTTTCATATATTTCTGTCTCTGTTCAGCCCAACTTTTATTCATCCTCCAGACATAGTTTCCCACAATGCCTCCCTAAAGCCCCCATCTATGCCCACCACTGTGCTCAGTTTGTACCTCCACTTAGCACTGGTGCTGTACCTATGCATTTACCAATTTGATTCTCCCACCAGATTATAAGATCCTGCAGAGCAAGTTCAGTGATGGTGTATTCAGATTTGTTCCCCCAGTGCGTAAAACTGTACTTGGCACAGAATAGTGTGTTGAATGAAAATAAATGAAACTTAAAAGTGAATGAAATAATTCATTTTTGAGGGGCTGGGAAAAGAAGAATGTCTTCCTAAAGAGTCAAAGTGCTTTTCAACATCAAACTGGAACATGATGTACAACTTGAGGTTTTTATATTTACTAAAGAAAAACTCACTTTGATAGGTTTAACAATAAATTAGTAGATTCAGGAATAAAAAATAAGTTGATAGAGTTTAAGTTTTGCAAGATGAAGAGAATTCTGGAGATTAGCTACCCTACAATGGGAATGTACTTACCACTGAACTGAGGCTTAACATGGTTAAGATGGTAAATTTTATATGTGTATTTCACCATTGAAAATAAATTAATTCATAGCTTAGTGAGGGAAAGCACTGGCTGCAGTTAACTAGTTGCAGTTTTGTTTTTCTTGCTTTACATGGGAAGAAAGTGGAGAGAGGAGGAAAAGAAGGTGGAACGGTTGTTCATAATGGTTGAAAAATAACCTCCTCCCAAAGGAAAGTACAATCCATACCTCTTAACAATCAAAGACTGTGGATCACAAGCTCTTACACTGTTCAAGTTAAAATCATCTTTTTTTTCCAGTGCAGACTCTGTAAACTTTTTCCCTTTAGCATATTTCAGAAAATTATGTAATAGTTACTTGGTATATATTTATCTTTCCTACTCTTCTGCAGATGTATCTAAAGCAGAGACTTAGTATTTAGCATTTAAGAGTTGTTTGTGAACGGTTTTAATTGAGTCAACATCCAGCTAAAATATAAAGCTAGGTGGCTGGAGCTGTGCTTAAGAGAACTGGATCAAAGATGAATGTATCAAAAGAGAGACAAGAATTTTATCGCCTTTGGCTTCCCCCAACTCATCCACCTCTATTCTTTATTTCTCAGCATCTATGCAGAAGTCCTTTACTGACATTCTATATATATCCACAAGTTTATTTATAGGTATTTTTATATTAATAGCACTTAAAAAAAAAACAACGAAAAAACCCACAACGTTTTCACCCCAGGAAAGTACATAAAATGTGTATTTTTTTTAAAAAAAAGCTAACTCATTTGGTAAACAAATCTCGTGCAAAATGTTCACCATATAAAATGTGCAAGAAAACAATTTTTAAAGGAGAAAAAAATTGTGCCTTCTATGAATTTCCATTTCCATTTAGAATCTCATTGTCATGTAAACTGCAATAGCAATGTTTTAATTTGTACAATAAAGCAGTTGTAAATAAAAATCACACTTTCTTCCTGTACTCACAATATACCTTAATTTTCAAAAATGTCAGTCCCATGCCTAGTTCGAAACACCGTAATTCATGTATTTTTCTCCACCTAATTCACAGAAACTTTTATTACAGTGCAAAATAATATGGAAGCATAGAATATTTGGAGATTCCACGTATTAGTCCATTTTTTTCCCAGATTTCTTTTAAGAGTTATCTGGGGAGCCTTTTAAAAATACAGATTACTATAATCCTTCCCTAGAGATCTGGCTCAGCTGCTCTCAGCAGGACAAAAAGCTTTTACTCTGCAAAGTGATTCTGATTAGTTTAAGATTGGGAAACATGGATCTAGTACAGTGTTGTCAATTTGGCATATTTGAATTACCTGAGGAGATTTAAAAAATCTTAAAATCCAGGCTGAAGCTCATACCAATGGAAATGATATCAATACTTTTTAAAAAGCTCCCCAAAGAAGGCTGAGAAACAGTGATCTTGTAGAACTTGAAAAAATTCCTGTAGAACCTTCTTACCATTAAGAAACTAGATTTGCTCAAATTCACAAATAAGTGGTAGTAAAACTGGGGCTAGAACCATTTCTCCTGTTACCTAGTCTACTTGCTTTTTGAGGTAGTTTTGTTTTTCATGAAGGTTGACAAAAAAATGTGTGAAAAAGATAAACCATCTCTTTTTACCTTAGAATACTACTGCCAATTGCCAATTAACGAGTTCAGTTAAAATAAAGCTGAACTTTTTATCTCAGAAATCACTAGAGAATATTATTTTCTTAGTCCTAATATAAAACAAAAAAACTAAGTATCACTACTGCTTAATCTTTAGTTTTTAGTACTAAACTGTTAATATATCTTACAAAGAACTGGCATTTTCTTTTAACTTTTTAACTTTTTCTTAAATTGAGTTCTAATTAAAAGTTCTAATTTTTTTTTAAGTCTGGCATCACACTTCTTTACTAGCAGAACTATTTGATACCTGAATTTGGCAACATGGTTACTTCATTAGGTAGAATAGGTACTTTTATATATTGAAGTGCTCTGTGAGCCAAGGAGAACAGATTACCTTCTCCCATACAAAAGAATGAATTTTATGCTGCATTAGCAAAACGCCAACATTGGTTGGTCCATAGACATTCAGAGTGGGAAACTTCTCAAGACATTACTTAACCCATTCCAACAATTTTCCCATTTTAATGATTCAATGTAAAATCATGAGAACGGTGTCAAATTGAAAGCTTATATAGTCACAATTTTTTTAAGTGTCTTTTACTTTCTAGAAATGACTACATGTTTAATGGACTTGCCACCTGGAGGTTTATTATTACAGTACCACTGTTGTTGAAATATCAATATCCCTCTCAAGGTTACCAGATATTTAGATATTTCAAAGTTCAGTGATGCTTGTGAGCTCTGCTTCCGGGTTAAAAAAAAAGAAAAACATTTGGAATGCTTTACCAAAAGCAGATCACATTACTCCACAAGTAACACTTCAGCAATTCGTATACAGTCTACAGTACAACGGATACTTCTGATTATTTCTGTTCACAAAGGAGTAACCGCCAGGTTCTACATTTTTAAATATTCTAGTAAGAATCAGATGCAATGGATTTTGTTCCAGTGATTTTAATAAACGAAAGCCCTTTTTGTTTCAATAAATCAAAAATCTAGACAAAACTTGATATGTCCAAAACCAAACCACTAAATGGAACCAAAAATGTGCATCTTTAGGCATAGGGAAAAAACCCCACCAGAATCTGTTAAATGTTCAATTTATACAAACTATTTAGAAAATCGAGGTAGAACTGCATATCCATCCAGTTTTTACTTCACAAGGAGACTGTGCTGTATACACTGTTTGCAAATCCTAAGTATTTGGTGTTAACATTTTTAACTTGACACCTGCCGTCTTAAATTCCGAGGGGCAAGGCTGCTTAACTACAAAGCCTTTAGGGCTGCTGAAAATCTTCCTTACCAAAAAAAAAAAAAAAAAAAAACCAAGACATGTTTATTTTTGGAGTGTGCTAGGGCAGAGACGTCAACTGAAACTCGTTATCCGAGGTTCGGCTGGTGCTACGTGGAGGGTGGCCCAGCCCCAGGCCGGGCCGAACCGCAGCCCGGAGCCAGCGCGTGGGCGCCCGACAGGCCCAAGCCCGGGGGCGGGGGGCTCTCCTGGGGCGGGGCGGGGCCGGCCGGGACCCCGGGGGGGGGCGGGCGCGGCCGGGCGGCCTCCCCGCGGCCGAGGCCTGGGTGACAGGAGGGCGCACGCCAAGGCCCTGGGGCCACACAGAGACGTCCAAGTCATGCAGGAGGCGCGCGGCCCGGCCCGCTCCCGCCGCCCCAGTCCCCTCCTCTCCTCCGACAGAAAGACAGACAAGGGTTCCCGACCTGTCGTGCCCTGCATGTTCAGAGTCTGTCATGTTTGGTCAAGAACGGGGCGGGGCTGGAGGGCAGGTCTGGGAGGACCCCTGCGCCGCCTGCGGGTGCCTGCTCCCGGCCGCCGCCGAGGTGACGAGGTGGTAAAAACTCACGGTTACTAGTGAGCGACACAGACACAGACTTTCCAGTCTATTAACAACCACGCCAGAGAGGTGGGGCTCTAACTGCAAACACTGGGCCACGGGCCCGCGCTGCCGGCGCTGCCGCTTTAGTCTCTATTCGCCGCCGGTGGCTGAGGCTGGGGAGCGGGCGCGCGGCGTGCACCGTCGCGGGGATTTGGACAGTGGCCGTAACGGTGATTTCTCCTCACCAACATGGCGGCACCCGAGACCGGCGGCTTGGTAAAATGGCGCCGGCCGCAACACCTCGCCCGGGACTAAAGGACAAGAGAGATTCCTCCGCGTGCCGCGGCCCTGGCCCAGCCCGCCGGGGCCGAGCGCGCTGGCCATTGGAGGATACAGCCCGTCAGTCACCTCCAGGGGCGGGTCCCTACCCTCTGTGAAGCGGCGGAGGAGCGCCCGGACGGCGGGCGGAGTCCGCAGAGGTTTGGCGTGGGGACAGTGGCTGCGGTGTCCGCGCTGTGGGTGCGCGCCTCCGGTTTTGGACTGACCGTGGTTTTTCCTGCAACACGCCGCCACCCAGAGGCTGAGGCGTGCCGGAGAGCCTGCAAAGCCGTTACCGGCGCGGACGGGAGGGGGACAACACGGCGGCAGTGGAGTCTCCTTTAAAAAAAGAATATCCTTAATTGCTTAAATCCTAGGGGAATGTGCTTTCTCCTCTAGGGTTACAGCAAATCGCTGCTTTTGTAATGTTGAATGCCCAGAATCACATTTTGGGGAAAATAGTTTGGCATGTAACTCTTTCCTATATTTAATACCAAACTTACGCGATTATTAGTCTATAATAAAAAAAATAGCTATTAAAGGTATTATATAAACTTTAAATTACTTCATAAGAATATTAACATTTCATATATAAAATATACACGAGTATTTTATAAACAACTAGCCAGTAAATTTCTTACACTTAGGAATATGAACTTTAGAAATGATTTTTTGATGTCACTGTTTTGATCTTATTAGTATATTACCATGTATTATTAGTTAATATAGTTAACAATATGAATACTATAATTAGTTCTGAAGGAAATGTCATTTTTATTAAAGTGATGGAGTTAATGGTTGCATTAACTATAATAATCTAAATTTCTATGTCTAAGTAAAAGGGTTTTGCTAGTGCATAAATGCAGCGCATTCGGAAGCAATTGCACTTAGTACAGTCAATTTAGAATTAAAAATTTGGGGTATGTACATTGAATAAACATTGTACTTATCTAAGTTGGATGTAGCGGTTACATTGAACCCGTACAATGATAATTCTGCAGACATCTGCCACATTTAGACACAATGTATTTCTAGGACACTTTCAAAGAGCACATCTATGGTAGCTCCTCTGGAGTAACAGTAATTACAGTTTGGGGTTACAGTAGAATCTCAGGACTGTCTCTATGGTAGCTATTTTCTGTGACTGAGGCCATAACTGTAGCTAATTTGGATAACTCATTTCTTTGCAGTTATCCAAAGGCGTTTGAGGTAAACAGTTGCAGTTGTCCTTTCTGTTCGTTTTCCCTGTATGTGGAATTCTCAGTATCTCTTTCAAACCTTCTTTAAGGTCTTTGGTTTGTGTGTGGAACAATGCAGTTCTCCCTAAGGGAAAAGCCTCTTTGCTAACCCTTGGTGTGCACCACTTACCAAGTTGGAATCTAAAATATGGTGTCAGGCCCTGGCCTTTCTCCTTTGGTACCAGGAAGGGAGTGAGCATGTATCTGGTATGCAGGGTAGGAGGCAGCGCTCCCACCTTGGAAACTACAGGTTTTGAATTTAGAAGCGCCCAGAGATCTGAAGACAAAATTCTTTTTAAGTTACAGGCTAAACCTAACATTCCCTACCTTGTCTTTAACTGCCTCACTTAAGAAGGAATGCATCAATCACAGAGATTAAACTAAATCATTAGTTTTTCAACGTAATAGATTTTACTTAACAGTGGAATGTGGACCATAAGAACTGCAGAACTCTCAGCACACAACTCCATCTAAACCTGTACAACTAGGAGCTGGCCATACACTAGCATGACTCCTAGCAGCCTAAGGCTGTGTCCCTGGGATGGCAACAGCCCCCCATATTAAAATACCTGAGAAAGCTCACTGCTGCCACGAGAATTATGGTTTGCTCTGGCGGACACCTGACAGAGGCCCTGACTTTACTTTCTTAGAGCATTTACTGAGAAGGGCTTTTAATTTTAAATCTTTCCTCCATCACTTTGAGATCTATGTGTTATTTCCTACAACTCAGCAGGATGTTTGTGAAGGACCTGAAAGCCATTCCTCTGAAATGTAACCATCAGGAAGAATAAGCCTCTGTCTCCCAGTCTCTGGAAGGCTAGAACCCTAACCTCCACAAATGCCGGCAAGCAGACACAGCTGGCCTGCTCACATGTACAGTGTCTGGCCCTTTGTAATTTTGCATGTGTCTCCCCCTTCCCTCTTCTTCATTCTTCCTTTATTTTTTAAGAGCAACTCTATCGGTATATGAAGTATATACCATAAAATTCACCCATTTTAAGTGTAGAATTAAATAATTTTCAGTACATTTACCAAGCTGTGAAGCCATCACCAACATTGTTTTAGAACATTCCATCGACCCAGGTGCCTGTTCATAATTAATCCTGTCATGCCATCCCTGCTCCAGGCAACCACTAATCTACTTTCTGTCTCTACAGATTTGCCTTTTCTGAACATCTCGTATAAATTGAATTACATAATATGTGTTATTTCATTCTCCCTTTAAAACGCCCAATCACCTCTGCACAAATTGGAATGGGGCTCTACTCTTTCCCCTCCAGTCAATAGTTACTGAATAAAAAGTTTTCATTGATGTCTGGCTTTGTCTATCTTTGACAATCCTCCCACCCCCAAAGCACACAAAACATTTTATTTTGCCAAATAATGACGTTTAAAAAAATTTCATCATAGTTATTTTATAAAAGGATATTTTATACCATATTTTATACTAACCAGAAAGGGTATACTTAGAATAAAGCTAATTCCTTTAAATTGAGTATGGTCAGCTTTAAGAAATTCATTTCATTGTCCTTGTTTTGTGCCAGGCCAATAAGAATAAGCCCTGGCATACCATGACTCCCAATTATGGCAAAAATTTCAGGGACCTGATGTGACCCAGGAGCAGTAGATCACTAGACATTCAAACAGACTGCCCAGCCTTGGACAAAAAGGATCTCCTGGGTGACAATCTGAGATGGAGGATTAGGGGGACTTCTTCTTACCCTTACTGGAAGCTTGTAAATTTCCTAAATGCTTGTGGGACCCTTTGTAGGGGGATAGAGCCCCCATGACAACAGTGTTTACTGCCTGCCTACCAGTTAGGGACTTAAACTTGGATTTAATTTGGGGAAAAAATATTCCTGGACAGTACACTTCAAGGTTACAGATGAATACCTGCTGTATTCACATTCGTTGGAAAGTTTCCAAAAAACTAATCATCTGGGTATGAGCCCAGTCTTTGCTGTAGTACTTTCAAAATGTTGCTTCCAAACAGGATTATGATACTGATACAGTTGGCGGGCTCCATTTTCAGGAAAGACTGGGGTGGGCCCTTCTCTAGTTTTTGTCCTCAGGCAACATTGGATGAAAAGGCCAGGATTGAGCCACATTTTACTTCAGGTGCCTGTCTCTAAGAATTTGGAGGTCAATTATGTCATATCAGAACTTCCTTAAATGTGTTTCATAAATACTTCTCTGCAAATACTTTATTATTCTTCTCCAAATACAATGAACCCAAAGGCTGCTCTCAGCAGTTAAGAAAGCATTTTCTGACACAAAAAATACAACAGTCTTTATTTTAGGCTATCACTTATGTATGTCTGCAATAGAAATGTGGAGTTTTTTCCGGTATGAGAAGTGATATGTGCTGAGCTACATATATATATATTCCCCACCCTCCTTAAACTCAGAAGCACTGGCTCATTCATTTTTTTACTCAGCAATGATTTACTGATCATATCACTATGTTCAAGATACTTGCTATTCTCTGAGCAGAGTTATGGATATATTTTTGGGATATCTATTGTCATGGAGCTTAAAGTCTAATAATTTGTACTTGTGAAGCTCGTGTTTATCAAAATGCTAATTGGGGTCAAGGAGCTTACTCAGTTAAAATTGAACTTGACTGTGTACAATGAAAACCCAACTACATGGCTTCACTAAATACAAGTTTTATTTCATTTTTTAACTAGATATAGGTTTTAATTTTCTCTAATAACAAAATATCTGGAGGTGAGAGTTCAAGATCGATGCAACTACTCACTGAAGTTATTAAAAACACAGGCTTCTTCTAGCTTCCTGGTCTGCCATGTAGCTTGCAGCTTTTATCCTTACAGTTGCTAAAATGTTGCTTTACCTCCAAGTATTCTTTGCGGGCTCTAGGCGGCAACGAGGTAAAGACAAAAGGCAAAAGGCAATGCCTGCTGAGTCAATTTATTTTTTAAGGGTAAAAAAATGTCTTTCTTACACTTTTTAGTAACATATCTTATTTGGAAATATAAGGAAGAGATTTTGCTTCTGTATGTGTGTATGTACATATGTACTCATGGATTCTTATTTTATTCTATGGATTATAATTCATCTATTTTGATGCTCAAATTGTCCAGATTTGGTCAGTTGGAGCCCCATTAGGCTGGCTCCTGTGTCAATTTGACGTGTCCCTGTTTTTGTTTGGTCACTTTCTCTGGTGCAGTGATATGTTCCAGGTTCATGTTGTTCTTCACCATCCTTTGCCTGGAAACCAGGCATTTCTTCAAAGAGCCCTGGTTCCTTTAAGCAGAAAATGGTGTTTAGAAGCCAAGATCTGGTGTTAGATGTGCTCATCACTACTTCAGGGTCACTGCTTCTGAATCCTGTCACAGGTGAGAATTAGGAAATATATATATATATATATATATATGTTCTTGTGTGAGAATGTGTGTGTATGAACATACGTATCTATATCTATTTATTTAAAAACTTGAGTTCATACTGATACTCCAATTCTGACCTAAAATCACAGGGCTCATTCTAGCCTTCCCTCTACACATTCTTTTTACAACAATAAGAGACATAGATAGATATAGATATTATATCTGTAATTTTACTTTCTTTTAATATTTTTGCCTGGATTTGTTAAGAGTTATGCTTACTTTGCAGAATGAGTTGAGGAGTATTTCATCATCTGAAAGAGTCTGTGTTAAGCAGGAATGTTTTGTTCTCTGAAAATTTAGAAGAATTTGCATATTAAACTATCTGAACATGGCATTTTCTTTGTGCAAAGATTAAACCACAACTCCATTTTCTTTACTGGTTATAGCACTATTTTTCTTATGTCAGTTCTGGGGATTATACATTATCTGTGGATTTACACATTTTATCTAGATTTTCTAGAAATATACCCAGGCCATCTAATATTTCAAGGATTTGATATTGGGTTTATCAATTTCTTTTATAGTTGTACCACATTTGCTTTATTATAAAGATATTTTATTAAGTGCATAAATATTTAAAGTTGTTTTGTCTTCCTAGTGAATTATTTAGTAACTTACTTTATTTCTAATAATACTGTTTGTCCTGAAGTATTTCTATTAATTTTTTTATATTTATATAGCTCCAATAGAATTCTTTTAATTGTTGCCTGTCTAGCCTTTTTTTGTTATTTTCTCAGCATCTCAAAAATTTGAGGTACTATGCCACCCTGATTTTAGTCTGGAAGATACCTGTGCTAAGTGCCAGAGCAGTTACTGTTTGTTTAAGGCAATGGTGGGGGAATCAAGGGCACAGTTGGAGCAGTTTTTTTTGTTTGTTTGTTTTCTCCTTCTGAGCTGCCTCCTGTCTCAGGCCCCGAAACACCAACCCATGAACAGCATGGAAATAGTACCTCCTCCACAAACTTCACCATCCCTTCTGGATCCTCAGAGGTTTTCTCACAATTTTCTGTTTCTTGTTACTCTGTTAACATTTTACTCTATTTGCTTTAGTGCACTACTAGTTACCTATTTTTCCCTCTATCCTTCGATCAATCCATCTATTTTTGACACATTTAATTTTTTTCTGTGGCTGCTCTAAAATTTTTCTCTGCTCATTGGCAGTTTCACCATGATGTGTCTAGGCATGAATTTCTTTTCATTATCTTGGTATTCATTGAGGGTCTTGATCTGTGGACTGGTGTGTTTCATCAGTCCTGGAAAAGTCTTAGCCTTTTCTCTTTAAATATTTTTTCTTCTACCTTGTTCT